GCCTAACACACTCCTTATGTTAATTTATATTGTTATATATATTGTTATTGGATTTATGGAATAAAGTTAATTTTGTAAAAAGATGCTTCCTTGTTTTTTTTCTATCTGTGTGCACCTGATGTGTAGGAGAATTGTGGTATATAGTTCGATAGTTACCATAACAGATTGGTGAAATTTGTTTGCAGAGTAATTCTAATGAATGCATCACTATTACTGCTGTAGTATTTCATTCACATTTAATAGTTTACATTTGCTTGTTGTTGAATATAAAAATAAACAACTATCAACCAAAAGACCATAGGATAGGGATGTAACCAACTGAAGGCAACTATCAACCAAAAGACCATAGGATAGGGATGTAACCAACTGAAGGCAACTATCAACCAAAAGACCATAGGATAGGGATGTAACCAACTGAAGGTCACTGTTCAGCATTCAACAAGGAGCTAAATCCATTACTGTATTTTGACCTCAATTTTTTTAATGGTTTTGTGTTACTGACATATATGCTTTGTCTTCTTTTATTCATCTGACATTAGACAAATATAAGACATTTTTGAAGAATAAAAAATAGAACAGTTGTATGGATATGAGAATTCTTAGGTTCCTTTGCTTTTTCTGTGTTTTTTGCTGTGCATGAACTGATTTTATGTCATGGATGGATACCCCATATTCTTTCTTTTTCTATAAAACGTGTCAAGCAGGGCTTCCAAAACGGTCATATATTCCGGACTTGACCGAAACTTTCATAAAAAGACCGGCTGCTCTCAGCCTCAAACGGTCAAATAGAATTGGTGTGCCACATTTTGTTATTCAAGGCATTTTCATGAAACGGTCATTTCAATTTTTACCAACTATCGATCGATAAAAATGTCCGTTTGGGGCTTTGGGCATGTCCGTTTGGGCATTTTAGTTTATAATTGTGGCAATCTATTTCACAAAGATATTTCGGTCATAATTGGGTTTAATAAAACAGAAGCAGCATATTTCAGATACTTTGAAGTGTCTCAGTTAGTCTAATCCTCTGGGTACATAAATGTACGGCTTGGTCTTTAGCTTGTGTACATCAATAAAAAGTAGAAAAAACACGTTTTCTTTTATTTAAATAACAACAAGCTGTCAAACAATTATCCCTTGAATAAGTTATATTGAAGCCATAAATCATTCACTGATTACAGGTTTGTTACCTTTGATGAGGTGTCCTTAGCTTATCTTTATCAATAGAATTAATGATGCATAACAATGTACATAAAGGTAATCCGGTAAACGAGGTCAAACATGTAAGCGTGTATGGAACAACATCCTATTTAATTACGCTTTATAGATATTATTTTAAATGAGCATTCAGTTTTAAAAGTATCCTGATATTTAAAAGTTATTCTTCAAATAAGGATATTTATAAATGAATAAGTATGATATATATTATTTTATTTAACACAGTACATCGTGTTAAATACTGGGGTACTCTCAAGGGGAAAATTTACTAAAATATATAGGAAAAACCAATGGACAAATTTCAGTCAATAAATGATTTAACTTAGTTAAATGGTGCCGTGATCACTTCTAAATTATATCAAGAGAACAATGCCTGCTCCGAATTTATTCAGACAATTTCCGATGTTATAGAGAAAGAGGTGATGTCCGACGTAAAGTTAAGTCCCGCCGTGGGAATTATGATCGACTAAGGTGTAGTCTAGGTATTGACGCTTTAGATCAACTTATGAGGATAAGCTTAGTAGGTGTAGATGTTAAAGACTTTGACACAATGCATTTAGCAAGCTCATGAATGTAAAATCTTTAATTAGACTAAATGAACTCTAATCTTGTGCTGTGATCTGTGCTTCTTTTCAATGTGCTCATTGTAATATGTATTGCGTGTGTTTGTCAGCATTGTGCTCTTCTGACATTTTATTGTTGTTATATGCTTACATAAAATATCATGTTGTTATTCATTAAATTATTTATCAACTGAGTATGTTTTTATTTATTCCTTATTTTCTAAATCAGGTTGGGAAATTGTACAAAGAAAAATGTTATCACTGTTCAGTAGATTTTACACGGTTTAAAACAATATCCTTCATCGGGCCTCCTCAATGTTATCTATAAATACCGCATCAGTTGTAAAAGTCACGTAGTCAGGTAATCAATACACAAAAAGAAAAGTATCACGTGTATTGATGATCAAGTTGTACTGCAATTAAAGCCAACATCAACAGTTTCAAATAAGATGGCCTTAATTTACAAAGTGTTAAGTACTCACAGAGAGAAGATAGATTATATAAACAGAAACAAAAACATGAGAACAGTCAGGTACTGAAGCTGATTGATGCAATGATGGTTACTGTATTACGATACACAGAAAAATGACACAATACCGAGGATAATATTTTATTTATTTTTAGAATGAAGAAAACAAAACAGTTATAAATAATTTTATTGCATATAACACTACTAATTATTTAGACACATATATCAATTTCTGCATCCTCTCAGTTACATTTAAGTATACAGCTGATCATTGACCGTCAAAAATATTTCTTTGAAAAATGTCCGGCTGTCGTCAGGAAATTTTGGAAGCCCTGGACTGTCAAGATTATTTTTCAAAAATCTGTGCCAATGTCCATATTATGTATGACTTACTAGTTCAGAAAATCTTCTAAACCTGTCATCCTGAATGCAATAAAGCTAGGATCAAATCTGTCTCCAAAATATTTCTTTGGTGGTAATTGTGGAGGCATCCTGTCAAAATAAACAGAATAAAACTTGTTACAAAAGATATATGCTTGTTTTCTCAAGGGTTCAAACAAAGTTCCATGAAGATCAAATTTGATATGACAATAACAATAAAATTACTAAACATAAAAGTTTAGGACTATCATATCATTCAACTTAAATAAAATTTCTGCAGTCTGTGCAGCATTGCCAACAAAAAGCTGTTCTTATATTTCCATGGACCTATTTTAAATTATTTTCCAGAGTGGCAGTCATCTTTGAGTTCAGATCAATTGTAAAATTTAGGGTGTTCCTTCATCTGATTATCCCTACAGTATTGTAATTCAATCTTGAAAAAGCTTTTAGTGGGGATAATGACTTTGGGTGTGTTTTCCCTTTTTGCAGAATCATAAAATAGATATCAATGCATAATATCACTCTACACAAGGAGCAATTTCAATAAGAGATTACATAGTATTTACTTTTGCTTCAGGATCAGGAAAAAAAATACATTCCTGACAATTTGGTTTCATTTATCCAAGTGGCTCTGCAAACAAGCTATATATTGACATTTAACAAAAGTTTACAAATTAGACAGATGAAACGAAGGCACTGGTCACAAAGTAAAGAGAAAAAAGTCACATAGTGAGAAAGGGAACTCATTGTAAAATATGGAATTTCAGCTAGAATTACATACACTAAAGGGTGATGATTCTTCAGAGTTTTCCTCAGCCATTCAAACTCTGAGTATCTTCTTCTTGTGGTAGATGTACTCAAACAGAATGACTTATTAGATGTCTGTATTTGTTCTAAAAATATTTCAGGAAAGCATATAGTTGGTGCTTTATCCCTTTGTCTGCAGAGAGTGGAGTTCATGTTTAGGTTTACTATGATGATGGCTGTGTTTCTAGAGTTAACTTTACCCATTAACTGGAAACTTTTATGGTTCTGTGGTGATAAATATTACAAAAGATGGATTTTAATGTTCTTGTCATGTTGGTTCTACCATTCTTTTTGTTTTTATTTTTTTCCATATCTTTGGTGTTTCTGATAATAGTTAATGAAGACACATTTTATAACATGCATTAAATTTTATATGTGTTAATTTTGGTCCAACTGCAAAGGAAGGTAGATTAAGCAAATTTATACAATTTTACCAGACAATGATATGTTTATGTTTTGCATATGCGTCTTTTATAACTATATGTATAATTATTATTACAGCAATGGACAAATACCCATACAAAACTTATGTTGGTAGGTGTTTGCTTAATGTCTAGGTCAAATCTTTAATACAAATTCAGGATAAAACACATTATTCCATGCATGAATGACAGGAAAATATAGTGTATGAAATGATTAATCATTGATAACTCACCAGTAGAAATGTTTTCTGTAGTGATACCTGGAATGAAGTGTTCATATTGACTTCATCTAGGAATTGAATGCTTCTTTTTATAAAAGTATTGACCGAAGCACATTTTGTACGAAGTGCTATGTAAAAAAATGAAAATAACACGTTATAAATTTCATGCATCCGAGGCTGGATTTACCTTCATCAGGAATGCTCGAAGCCAAATATTTGAAAGCCAAGGATAAATGCATGATTGTGCTAGCTTAGAAGCTACATTTGTTTATACCAGTGAAGATATAAATATAACAGGATATACATTATTTATCTGATCAAACACCAGAGTAATGTACTTCTAATGTCTCATATGGTGTTATGTATTATGACTTGTGTTAATTTATCAGTTATTGTATTTGCATATATGTTTAACATGTCATTGTGATGATGAGCATTGTTTGCTTAAAGTATTGAAGAATTAAAAAAAAAATGTAGGTGGACTACAGTGCCTTAACACTCTGTTGTGTGTAAAATTAAAATTGGCATTTGTGGAGGACTGTTGAAAGTACAATTCGTTTTATATTGAAGGCTTTACTTTAATAATGTTTTTAATGAGAGGTTGCTTTTTTTCTTGTTAAAAACTATTTTGTATCAATAATATTCATAATAAGGAAACATTTTGAAAGCCAATGTTGAATTTTCCCCCAGTATTTTCAATTGAACAAACTTTTAGAAGGCTATATACAAATCATTGAGAATCAAACAATTTATCAAAAAAAATACATTCCCCCAACAAAAAATAAATGGAGTGCATAATCCATTTTACTGTTTGAGTATTAAAATTTCATTATTCAGAATTCTTGAGGTGTGCCTATATTGGCAAAAGTTATAAAGACACAGATACAGATAGCTCTTTATTTTGGAGGTAAGAATATTCATGTAAACAAATAGTACGGGAAATATTTCCCAGATAAGAAGTTTGAAGTTGGCTGATTTTTTGTTAGATTGGGTTGACAGTGGTATGTATTGAAAGAAAACCGTTCAATAGAAATATTTATTGATTTTGTTTATGCATTATCCCCCCAAAATGCTGAGTTTCGATGTAAGAATATAAATTTACTTATGTGAGCACTACATTTTGCATTTGCAAGATAATTTTGGCCTTGAACATTTTGTGTACTATTTTCAGGTTAACAACATACATAACTACTGTTGGAAAACTTGATAGAAATCAAATGGAATCGATTTTAAACAGACCAGGAATTCAAAAGATAAAGTCTCCTGATAAAAGGGAGAAGGTATATATATATATGATAACATCTTTTAGCTGTGCAGTTAGATTTATCTGTTAATATATTATTATATACTGGAAATGAACTCAATATTGAGCAAAAATGTTATCCAGGATTTAAGTGTGTGTCCCACTGTGTCAACTATTCGCTCGAGATAACTGACTTTAAACTTTTCCCTGTTTTACATTTAATTCCACTGTTTGAAAATGAGTTCCTAATTAAGAGGTTAAAAAATATAGTTTTTGGGGAAAAAGGAATGTTTGTAAAAGTCAGCATTTGCTCATTAAATTTCCAGTTTCTTTTAATGTGAAGTTCTTGACAGTCTGTTGTTATCTTAAATGTGATGTCTAATGGGAATGGCTATTTTATTCAATAATACAAGGCGCTGTTCTCCACTTCTTTGCCCAAGAGGTTTCCAACCAAGATCCATCATGGAGGTGACATTTCTCATATGCATATTTTTCGCACATGAACCTAAGCCGCCCTTTTATTGTATGCTCTTTATACGGTCAATATCTTTCTGCAAATATGGATGCCATACTCACGCAATACTGTGCAGGAGTAATCCAGCACTGAACGAACCAGACAGTTTTTTAATTTTTACCTAGTGTTATATGTTTTATATATTTGGACCTATTTAGCTCATTTGATGTTTTATTGTGTTAAACATTGACATATTCTGAATCAAAATATAATGTTGTTATCTTATCTTACATCATGTATATTAAGGCTTTCCTTGACCTAATTGCAAATAATTACTATGCCTAGGAAGGCTATATGAAATCTCAGCCAAATTGTTCACCCCTATACAGAGATGTGGTATGATTGCTAATGAGACAAATATCCACCAGATACCAAAGGACTTGGATCTAAACAACTATAGGACACTATATGGCCTTCAACAATGAGTAAAACCCATACTGATAGTAAGGTAAAAAAAAAGGCACGACAAAATTACCAACCTGAAGTTTTTTTATGGTGCTTTTTCAAAAAAACCTTTTACCCAAGGTTTACGATTACCCTCAAATGTTTTTGTTGAATAGTTGAGTGTCTTTCCTTTGTATATGAAATAAAATATACTCATAAAAATATTGACCGACATACATGTACAGTATATTTAAATTATATATGTTTGTTTTACAGGTTTGTGAAGCATTGGAAAGTTTAAGGTTTACGGAAAATGATGTTAAACAGATGATGAAAGTTTTTGAGGAACAGATTGATTATGCAAATAGTTTGAATGAAAAAGACAGGAAGAAATCAGATTTATTCTGGGAATGTACATATGTCAGTGACCTTGTGAAAGGAAATGGTAATATTACTGTCTATACAGTTTAGTAACTGTTGTACAATGTGGTTACCTGGTGCACATATGTCTGTGGTTATTTGGTCCATATTTACATTTTATGAATTTTTAAGCTGTCTTTCAGTTACACACAATATAACCAAGTAATTTTTTCAGTGACAACAGAGAAAAAACAAAGAAACAAAGAAAACACAGGTTGAATAGATTTACTGTGACAGCAACTCAGGTCAGGCGTTCCATTCATAATTTAACACAATATAACAAATATGAATGCAGATTGTCTTGATCTAGTCTGTCATTTGTATTTGAATGAATGGTACTGATAAAAATAATTGAATGGCTGTTGTGGTCACAGTCTCAATAGGATGGATTGTGAAATACATATTTACTATAGAGACCTAAAGGACAACTATATATTTATTTAAACACAAGTGAACCAACGCCTGGTAAATCTTCTGTCAGTAGATTCCATAAAGTGGATACCTTGGGTACATATTTATTTAATTGATAAAAAATTATTGGCAATTATGTCGAGTTTTCTGAGCAAATAGAAAAAATTGGGATGTAAAATCAGCTACCATGTATGAAGTTTGGATTATAAATCATTTATTTTTTAAAATTTATATAACACTGAGAACAAAGACCAGAATCCAAGTTTATCTATAGTCACAGTTAGTAGGGCATAAAAAGCAGAATAAAGCTCCTCTTGGAATCTATTACCTTTTTCGAACAAGGCTGTATAGACTAGTTATAGAAATACTAATGAATCAATGATTTATGGCACACATTACTGAATTGCTGTCCTTGAGTAGAACTAACTTTCAGGGTATTTTTTCAATCTTTTACAGAAAATGGTCGATATCTTGGATTAGATTTAGGGAGTACCAACTTCCGAGTAGTACTTGTTGATCTCCAAGATGGTGTAGCGAAAACTACGACAAAATATTATAATCTTACAGATGATCAACTTTCTGGACCTGCTGAACTGGTACTGTATTTGTATAAATATAATTTTGCTGTAAGAGTTTAAATGATAAAAGACTCAGGAATGTTATGAATTTATTTGAAAAGAAAAATGTTAAATACTGTATTATCTTCCAGACTGAATTTGTTAAGAAATCAATCATCATGATGATAAATCTGAAAATTGGAATTTTTTTATTAATTCCATTAATTAAACTGCTTGTATTGATGACCATTAATTTCTGTTTAAGATAAATCATATATTGTAGAAAATTGTAGAAATGGTTGTTTAATGAGGAGTGAATTATAAAATAAAAATTCTTCAATACAAAATTGTCTAAATAAAAAAGAAGATGTGGTATGAGTGCCAATGAGACAACTCTCCATCCAAGTCACAATGTATATAAAGTTAACAATTATAGGTCAAAGTAAGGCCTTCAACACAGAGCCTTGACTCACACCGAACAGCAAGCTATAAAGGGCCCCAAAATGACTAGTGTAAAACAATTCAAACAGGAAAACCAATGGTCTAATCTATATTAAAAACGAGAAAAACCTATGAACCACACCAACAAATGACAACCACTGAACAACAGACTCCTGACTTAGGACAGGTGCATAAAAATGTAGTGGGTTTAAATGTTTTAACCTGAGACAGTAAACCCAGTTTAAAAAATGTTTAAAATATTTGTCAATGATTTTGATGTAAATTTTACTGGATTTGATCATTAATCAAACATTAATTAGAGTTCAGGGTGAAATTTAAGTTATTAGTTAAATATTTGTGTATGATGGTATAATTTAAATCTAGAAAAAGGAGTAAGACACAATACAACATCTTCTTCTGGTATACAGTATTTTCTGACACAACATTTTTTTTTCCGTCAATCATAAACATTACAATATTAAAGATTATACAGTTGAGAAAAAGAAAAGAACATTTTTTATGGTGCCCTAGTTTATTTGCTGTCGAGTTTTCTAAGTACAGAAATCTGCATTTTGACATATTTTTCATGGTTCAGCAGTCAATATTAAGTTTTTGTCGGTTTCTCAAATAATATAAGAAATACCTCAACTATATTCGATCATGGATAGAATTATTGTTATTGTACATGTCCATCTGACAGGGTTTATCTGATGTTGACCACATTGTCATGTTTCATTGGTCAACATTAAGTTTTCATGATAAGGTTAGTTTCTCAAATCATTGATCTTAAACACTTTCAAAATAAGCTTCAGGTATGCAGGAGAGAAATTTCAGCTCGTGCATTTTGTTAGTTCTCTATCATGTTATCCTACAGAAGTCTTGATGGTCATGATGGTGCCATGTAGGTGCTAGGGGATGGTTGAGATTGACAGAAGTCTTGATGGTCATGATGGTGCCATGTAGGTGCTAGGGGATGGGTTGAGATTGACAGAAGTCTTGATGGTCATGATGGTGCCATGTAGGTGCTAGGGGATGGTTGAGATTGACACAAGTCTTGATGGTCATGATGGTGCCATGTAGGTGCTAGGGGATGGGTTGAGATTGACAGAAGTCTTGATGGTCATGATGGTGCCATGTAGGTGCTAGAGGATGGGTTGAGATTGACAGAAGTCTTGATGGTCATGATGGTGCCATGTAGGTGCTAGGGGATGGGTTGAGATTGACAGAAGTCTTGATGGTCATGATCATTATCACTGAACTAGTATATATATTTGTTTAGGGGCCAGCTGAGGGATGCCTCCGGGTGCAGGAATTTCTCGCTGCATTGAAGACCTGTTGGTGGCCTTCTGCTGTTGTCTCTTCTGTGGTCGGGTTGTTGTCTCTTTGACACATTCCCCATTTCCATTCTCAATTTTATGATGGTGCCATGTAGGTGCTAGGGGATGGGTTGAGATTGACAGAAGTCTTCATGGTCATGATGGTGCCATGTAGGTGCTAGGGGATGGGTTGAGATTGACAGAAGTCTTGATGGTCATGATGGTGCCATGTAGGTGCTAGGGGATGGGTTGAGATTGACAGAAGTCTTGATGGTCATGATGGTGCCATGTAGGTGCTAGGGGATGGGTTGAGATTGACAGAAGTCTTGATGGTCATGATGGTGCCATGTAGGTACTAAGGGATGGGTTGAGATTGACAGAAGTCTTGATGGTCATGATGGTGCCATGTAGGTGCTAGGGGATGGGTTGAGATTGACAGAAGTCTTGATGGTCATGATGGTGCCATGTAGGTGCTAGGGGATGGGTTGAGATTGACAGAAGTCTTGATGGTCATGATGGTGCCATGTAGGTGCTAGGGGATGGGTTGAGATTGACAGAAGTCTTGATGGTCATGATGGTGCCATGTAGGTGCTAGGGGATGGGTTGAGATTGACAGACGTCTTGATGGTCATGATGGTGCCATGTAGGTGCTAGGGGATGGGTTGAGATTGACAGAAGTCTTGATGGTCATGATGGTGCCATGTAGGTGCTAGGGGATGGGTTGAGATTGACAGAAGTCTTGATGGTCATGATGGTGCCATGTAGGTGCTAGGGGATGGGTTGAGATTGACAGAAGTCTTGATTGAGATTGACAGAAGTCTTGATGGTCATGATGGTGCCATGTAGGTGCTAGGGGATGGGTTGAGATTGTCAGAAGTCTTGATGGTCATGATGGTGCCATGTAGGTGCTAGGGGATGGGTTGAGATTGACAGAAGTCTTGATGGTCATGATCGTGCCATGTAGGTGCTAGGGGATGGGTTGAGATTGACAGAAGTCTTGATGGTCATGATGGTGCCATGTAGGTGCTAGGGGATGGTTGAGATTGACAGAAGTCTTGATGGTCATGATGGTGCCATGTAGGTGTTAGGGGATGGGTTGAGATTGACAGAAGTCTTGATGGTCATGATGGTGCCATGTAGGTGCTAGGGGATGGATTGAGATTGACAGAAGTCTTGATGGTCATGATGGTGCCATGTAGGTGCTAGGGGATGGGTTGAGATTGTCAGAAGTCTTGATGGTCATGATGGTGCCATGTAGGTGCTAGGGGATGGGTTGAGATTGACAGAAGTCTTGATGGTCATGATCGTGCCATGTAGGTGCTAGGGGATGGGTTGAGATTGACAGAAGTCTTGATGGTCATGATGGTGCCATGTAGGTGCTAGGGGATGGGTTGAGATTGACCTTGATGTAGGTTGGGAGCTTTTAGTTCTTGAATTCATCTCGCAACTGTTAAAAGAAGGAACAGCAATAAAAGCACTAGTTTTTATAACTTTATTATTTCATTGTGATTTTTGTTGAGCCAATTTTATCAATCCTAGATTCCGTCGGCGGCGTCAACATTTAGGTTCAGGCTATGGTTTAAGTTTTTTTTAGATATAATAACTTTGTCAAACCTACAAAGAATTTTATAAAATTTGGACAGAAGATCGTTTATGACCAAAAGACAGTATCCAGAGCAAAACGTTTTAATTATTTATTTTCATTTTTCCGTATTTAACTGATCAATGGTCTTAGTTTTTTTTACAGTTAACAAGTAGATACAGTCTGGGGTTAAAGTTTGTTACACATCAATTACTTTGTCAAACCTATATAGAGTTTTATGAAACTTTGGCAGAAGCTATTTGATGATTAAGAGATAATGTCTGAAGCAAACCTTTGAAAATATTTTTTTTTTTCATTTTAGTATTTTTCTGATAGACGGACTTTGTTTTTTACAGTTTTAAACATTTACAGACAGTTTGGAGTTAATTTTTTTTGACATGATAAATTTGTAAACCTTCATGGATTGTTGGACAAAAGCTACTCTTCAAGACCAAGAAAGAGCATCTAAAAGTTTGAATTTTTTAAAAATTCTGTATTTTACTGATAAATGGACTCACTTTTCAAGTCAACATTACACTTTTACACTGACAGCAACATCAGGACACAGGGTTCTGTGGAACCCCTTACAAATTTTTTAATAGAAATTAAGAAATGTATCTACCTCATGCATAGCTCTGATTCTTTGTCGGGTTTTACTAGACATTTTAATCCTTTGCAATTATCTGCTCTTTAGCATTTGTATTAGGTTTTGTATTTTTGGTCCTGAGCATGTATGAAGAGACATTAATTTTCGAAATGGGCAACTGGTACAGTAAAATTGGTACCATATAATATTATTATTGTCTGTGTTCATCCATCTCAATTTTTTTCTTTTTTCTTGATTTAAAGAGAGAATCTAATTAACCAGAAAAAAGTAATGTTGACATTATTCCATTCTATATGCTGTACCCTTCTTTCAGGTGTTTGATCACATTGCAGCTAGTATGGAAACTTTCATCACAGAGGAAAAGATAGAGAGTAAAACACCAATAGGTGTTGGTAAATATTAGTTAAATCCATATTTGTTTACCTTATTACTTATTTATAGTGTAAAACAGGAAATATGTATAAAGGTCTCACTGAAAATATTCAAAGAATTCCAGATGTCTTGATTGTTTATTCCTGCAGGTACATTTTGTACCTGTGTTTCATGATAAAATTTTGCATAAAACGATTTAACTAAAAATTATGTATTTGAAATACCAAAACAGCATACAATGAATCATACATTCTAATACAACATTTTTTGTACATTTTCATTTTTATTGGATAACACCACAAATTTCAGTGATTTATTTTATGATTTATGGTCTTAAATTGTGCATGCAAACCCAGACATTCTGTAACTGACTGTGAAATGTACAATTTAGCTGTGTTTTCTTTCAATTGCATTAGAATGTAGATAACAGATAGTTTTTGAGGATTTTTGAAAAGTTTTGATTTGATGATAACAAATAACTGTTTATTGGCTCTCTTTACATGTTGCCGGAAAGCTCAGTTTGCAAATATCAAATTGACCATTGATACCTGTAAATTTTCATGTACAGTATTCTTATTTCTTAATTACAAATGATGAAATCAAGTCAGTGGTGCAACTGACAATATTTTTCTTAAGCCTCAAACCAATTCTGAAAGTTTAACATTAGTTTAGCTATGTATTTCACATCTTCTTTTTAGGTTTCACATTTTCGTTTCCAACTGTTCAAAAAACATTAAAGAGGAGTATTCTGGTAACCTGGACAAAAAGGTTTAAATGTACCAGTGGACCTGGCCTTGATCCTTGTAATTTACTGGAAGAGGCCATTGAAAGGAGAGGGGTAAGATTTGGAAAATTATAATATTACAGGATTTTGATTAACTATCTTGAAGTATCTTCAAACCTCAAACAAATATCAGGTTGCCTATAATTGCTTACATCCACTTCATTTAAACTTTGGTGGATAGTTGTCTCATTGGCAATCATACCACATCTCCTTATGTTTATATCACTAAGTCACTAAGATTAAGCATAGGTAGAAAGAAACTAAACAGCAACTCAAAAAAGTTTTTTTGGGTAAAGATTGCATGAAATGCAATCAAAACCCTATGTTACTGACTTGATATCTATATCTTCCAAGGTTAATCACTACTTTTGATATGCATAAAATATAGTGCATTGCTCATAACATTCTATACATCCTATCCATCCTATCAATTTATCAATGAAATATATGATCAGATATTTATGTTACAAAATGATGTTAAACTTGGCATGAAAATTACATAACTTGTGCAAGGTGCAGGAATCTAATATCTGTGGTCTAAAAATATCAATGATGTCATTGTTTAAGTAATCTTTAAAATTGGAGTTATCATCCTTTGTCTGTAATTAAGTCTCCCAAACGAAGTTTGGGAAGACTTATTGGTTTTGCTCAGTTCTTATTATTATTATTATTCTTGCTCTTCCGCCACTTTTTTTAATGAACTTGTCCGCACCATTTCTCCAAAACCGCTTGTCAGATTTACTTAAGGTTTCACAATATGTTAGATTAACATGTCTAGTGGTGCAATCAGGATTTCGTTTGTGCATTGGGGTCTAAAAAGGGGTACTTTGAGGGGCCAAAAGAAGGGAGGGGTTTACTAAAGAACCCTATGGGATTTTTTTTTTTTTCTTCAAATGATTATAACTTGAAAACCGTTAGTGATAGACACAATCTTTATAATTGAAAATGTTCTACATGATAAAGCACATCTAATGAAATAAAGGGTTCGTCCCCAGGGGTCACCCCCACCCCCTGCCATTTGACAAAGTTGTATTATCTTGTAAGTGGTCATGATCCCCACCCCTAAACCATATATATTCTGGTTTTTCATGATAAAGCACATCAAATGAAATAAAGGGTAAGTCCCCAGGGGTCACCCCCACCCCCTGCCATTTGAGAAAGTTCTAATATCTTGTAAGTTGTTGAGATCCCCACCCCTAAACCATATATATTCTTGTTTGTCATGATACAGTCCATCAAATGAAAAAAAGGATTAGTCCCCAGGGGTCACCCCAACCCCCTGCCATTTGAGAAAGTTGTAATATCTTTCAAATGGTTGAGATCCCATCCCTAAACCATATATATTCCGGTTAGTCATGATACAGTCCATCAAATGAAAACAAGGATTAGTCCCCAGGGGTCACCCCCCATCCCCTGCCATTTGAAAAAATTCTAATATCTTGTAAATGGTTGAGATCCCCTCCCCTAAACCATATATATTCTTGTTTGTCATGATAAAGCACTTCAAATGAAATAAAGTGTAAGTCCCCAGGGGTCACCCCCATCCCCTGCCATTTGAGAAAGTTCATATATCTTGTAAATGGTGAGATCCCCTCCCCTAAACCATATATATTCTTGTTCGTCATGATAAAGCACATCAAATGAAATAAAGGGTAAGTCCCCAGGGGTCACCCCCACCCCCTGCCATTTGAGAAAGTTCTAATATCTTGTAAATGGTTGAGATCCCCTCCCCTAAACCATATATATTCCTGTTCGTCATGTCACAAAGATTCGAATGATATATAGGGTCAGTCCCCAGAGGTCCCCCCACCCCCAATGACCTAATATCTTGTAAATGGTCGAGATCCCCACCCCTAAACCATATATATTCTTATTCGTCATGCCAAGAAGATTTGAATGATATATAGGGTCAGTCCCTAGGGATCACCCCCACCCCCTGCCATTTGATAAAGTTCTAATATCTTGCAAATGGTTGAGATCCCCACCCCTAAACCATATATATTCCTGTTCGTCATGTCAAAAAGATTCGAATGATATATAGTGTCAGTCCCCAGGGGTCCCCCACCCCCAATGATCCAATATCTTGTAAATGGTCGAGATCCCCACCCGTAAACCATATATATTCTGGTTTGTCATGCCAAGATGATTTGAATGATATACAGGGTCAGTCCCCAGGCATTACTAATGCATATAAATTTACTGGACTTTGCACAATGTCAGGCGAACCTTGGAATGACAAATTATGGGAGCTTCGTTTGGGAGACTTCGTAACAGCATTCTGTTACAATCATTTCTTGTTGTAGTTAAATCAACAACAACCAATGCTTTATACAATGCAATGTTAATTTTCCATCCAACTGATAAATTAAAGAAATCTTTACCCTTCAGTGCTTACAAGCACTTTGATTTTTACCAGTAGCTGTTTCTGCAATAAGTTTGGAAAGCCAAAGATATGAAATTATTGAGAGCATGAAACTAAATAGGACATAAGTAAAACAGCCAAATCCTTTTAAGGTTAACCATACCTGAGGAAATTGTATCCTTGGTGTGAGCACAACTTACTTAAAAATTTACACATAAAAGTTATACTCTAAATCAGAAACAAGTTTAAATAAAGTCAGAACTTGATAGAAATAGTTAGAACATGTCCTCAGGTACTTGGCTTTTGTGTTGAAAGGCATAGGAACATTTATTATAGATTATTAGAATGCGTTTAACTTGACGAGGATAAAAAATAAATATTGCATACTGGTACTTTAATATTTTTATTTACAGGGATTATCAGTACCAGTCAATGTGATGGCCAGAATAAGTGACACCACAGGCACTTTAATGGCTGGAAGTTATTATGATAAAAAATGTGCAATAGGACTTATTTTAGGTGAGTTGCCTCCCTTAGATATTTTATCATAAGGGGAAGCTTATATCGCCAGTATTAACTTTGACAATTTTTCTACATTGAAAGGGCAGTAGCTGTCAAATTCCAGTTAACCAATTTGACTCTAATTCTCATATTTGATTTATAACATACTAAAATGTATGTCCAAGTTATAAAAAGTCTAAAATAAACAATTTACAATGCATGTACTTGATAATATGTATCAGCATTTCGTGTGTATTTTAGTCTAGACGCCATCTACTTAATCATCTAGATGTTCTATGAAGACTGCCAACGGTCATATAACCCGATATAGACATAAATATAGATATAAATAGATAGAGTTCATGTGCAATTGGGTTTTTTTCTAGGTCTGTTTGATTTCATATAATAGGTTACAAAATATGTTAATCATCGTTTTTACCTGTATAAGAACAAGTTTTAGTGGATCGAATTAGTCAACCAAATGGTTTACCCTTGTTTCACTTTCAATGTTGACATTCTTTTCCTTTTAATAACTGAACACGCCATGTTTATGAGTAATCTATCTCTAGCCAAGCGGTTAAATTGAAGGTCACATGAATAGGGATTCCATAAGGTCGAATTATTCATTTGTAAGTGAATAATTCATCAGTGATGTTTCTTAGCTTATTTTGACAAAATTGAACCAAAATGCCTGCTAAAATCGAATTATCATTTCACTATTTCACTTTCGTTAATGATTGAACAAAAAAAAAATCACATATTTTAATTTATTTTTTTTTATATCTCGTAGCTAATGCCCCTTTAATTAAAGGCTTATATGTCATTTTCTATAACTTTTTTTTTATTTAAATGCTGTCTCTTTAATGTTTATCCCCATTTCTACTGTATTCATAAATAGTTACTATGGTTTGGTGCAATTACATAGTGAAAATATATTAAGAAGTTAGTTATACATTCTTTAAAAAAAAAATTCCTGATGCAGTAAATTTTCTGTGTATAAGTTATTGGAGTTTATCTCCAGCCAGTTATTACAAAATCATATTTTCATCTTAATATCAAGCTGAAAATTTGAGCTAAACGTTTAACTTGATTTCCTGTTTAAGGAATATAAGCACTTGTAATTTAGTATTATAATTTTGGATCTGAATGATGATAAGAATTTGTATAATATTTAAGGGTCAGGATCAAATGCTTGTTATGTAGAACAATGATAAGAATTTGTATAATATTTAAGGGTCAGGATCAAATGCTTGTTATGTAGAACACTTGAAGAACTTCAGAAAACTAGATCCTAAGGAAGCCAAGTCAGATAAGGTAAAATACATGTGTATGGCTTTATGTACCCATACTTACTTTTAAGCATTTATATTTATTATTCTACTATATTGCTTTAACCTTGTCCGTCCGTCTGTTGTACTGTTCTTCCTTCCATCCATTCCTCCAACAAAAATTTTGTCACACTTTTCTCAGTTATTACTGAAAAAAATGACTTTATATTTGGTCAGCAGCTTAACAGGGATGAGTTGTAATCTATGAGCACTTTCCGAATCTGTTGGACACCAACTATCTGTTCACAGATAATTTGAACTTTTCAATATGTTGAATGAACTTAAAATTTTTCGTCACACTTTTCTCAAAATGAATGATTATCAATTTGGTCAGCAGCCTAACAGTGATGAGTTGAAACATGTGTGTGCCTTTTGGATGTGTTAAACTTCTACCCTCTGTTTTCTAATACTTTCAATTACAAGTGGGGGTATGCTTAGTACAAAAACACATGTATTCTAGTTAAAAGCTCCTGTCAGATTAAATTTTTAAGCAAATTAAAACTAATTTCTAAGGCATAATTAGTATTTCAAATGGCACTTTTTCATGGTTTTCATTTTTTGCACTGAAATGAAAAAATGGCTTTTTAAAATTCTTATGATACTGTTAGAGAGGAAGCCTGTTGTTACCATTTTAGTTCATCCTTGGACTTTGGTGAATGATATAAGTTTTCTTGCATAATGTTTCCATAGGTCCTTATTATCTGACAATATTTTATGTCTTTGAACTTAGGAATAATCAAGAATCCAGGTACAATTCTGTTTATTTCTATGAATTTATTATAAAGGAGTAGGCCCGGTAAGACCCCTTTTTTACAAAGTTGTTGAAAATGTAAACTTTTAGCTATTTACTGGAAAGTGGAATATTTTTGTTACATAAATATGGGCAGTTTTTATCCGACCGCAAAAAAAATTTGCGATCGTATATTGGTATGGCGTTGGCGTCGTCGTCGTCGTCGTCCGAAGACACACTGGTTTTCACACTCTAACTTTAGTTTAAGTGAATGGATCTCTATGAAATTTGAACATAAGGTTCAATACCACTAAAGGAAGGTTGGGATTGATTTTGGGGGTTATGGTACCAACAGTTAAGGAATTAGGGGCCAAAAAGGGGCCAAAAATAAGCATTTCTGTAACTTCCAGACATAACTTGTGTGTTAGTGTATGGATCTCTCTGACATTGTACCACAAGGTTCCATATCACAAAGGGAATGCTTGGATTGATTTTGGGGGTAATTGCCTCAAAATTTTAGGAATAAGGGGCCATAAAAGGGGCAAAAAACAAGCATTTTTATATGGACAAATACTTAAGTACAAAACATAATTTAAAGCAGTGTAAGGGAGATAAATCAAATACATCATTTAAATTACCTCCCTTACACTGCTTTTAAACTATGTATAAAGTAATGGTTAATGAACAATTAAGACAATTTAAAACAGTGTAAGGGAGGTAATCCACATACAACACTTTGATTACTTCCCTTACACTGCTTTTAAATTATGTTTTAAGAAATGCATATTTTTATAGGAAGACCAGTAAAAATATCTGCAAATGTTGCATCTTTTTTTTTTACAAAAAAATCCATATGAAAGATTTGACACCATATTTTAAATTCTATTATAAAATAAATTAAGTTAGCACTATGGTAAATTTAAATGGGTAATTATGGTTGCAAATTCCATTGGAAATTTGAATTGAGATTATGACCATATCTTGAGGGGGGGGTAAAAAGAAATTGTGGAAGGTCAATTTTTTCTCATTTCAGATTTCAGAAATTAAAAAGAATTATTCTTCAAATATTATTTTTTTTTCAAATTTCAAGAAGTAATCTTAAATTGCACAGTATGGCGCATTAGATTTGTAAAATCTTTGACCACATTTATTTATTTGTTATGCCAAATCTGACTGTGTATTAAGATTTTTAATTTTGGGTCCAGTTTTCAAATTGGTCTACATTAAGGTCCAAAGGGTCCAAAATTAAACTTAGTTTGATTTTAACAAAAATTGAATATATGGGGTTCTTTGATATGCTGAATCTAAACATGTATTTAGATTTTTGATTTTGGGCCCAGTTTTCAAGTTGGTCCAAATTGGGGTCCAAAATTAAACTTTGTTTGATTTCAACAAAAACTGAATATATGGGGTTCTTTGATATGCTGAATCTAACCATGTATTTAGATTTTTTATTTGTGGGCCCCACTATCAAATTGGTTCATATTGAGGTCAAAAGGGTCCAAAATAAACTTTGTTTTATTTCATCAAAAATTGAATTATTGGGGTTCTTTGATATGCCAAATCTAACCGTGTATTTAGATTTTTAATTTTGGGTCCCGTTTTTTAAATTGGTCTACATTAAGGTCCAAAGGGTCCAAAATTAAACTTAGTTTGATTTTAACAAAAATTGAATTCTTGGGGTTCTTTGATATGCTGAATCTAAACATGTGTTTAGATTTTTGATTATGGGTCCAGTTTTCAAGTTGGTCCAAGTTGGGGTCCAAAATTAAACTTTGTTTGATTTCAACAAAAATTGAATTCTTGGGGTTCTTTGATATGCTGAATCTAAACATGTGTTTAGATTTTTGATTATGGGTCCAGTTTTCAAGTTGGTCCAAGTTGGGGTCCAAAATTAAACTTTGTTTGATTTCAACAAAAATTGAATATATGGGGTTCTTTGATATGCTGAATCTAACCATGTATTTTGATTTTTGGGCCCGTTATCAAATTGGTCCACATTGAGGTCCAAAGGGTCCAAAATTAAACTTAGTTTGATTTTAACAAAAATTGAATATATGGGATTCTTTGATATGCTGAATCTAAACATTTATTTAGGTTTTTGATTTCGGGCCCAGTTTTCAAGTTGGTCCAAATTGGGGTCCAAAATTAAACTTTGTTTGATTTCAACAAAAATTGAATATATGGGGTTCTTTGATATGCTGAATCTAACCATGTATTTAGATTTTTTATTTGTGGGCCCCGCTATCAAATTGGTTCATATTGAGGTCAAAAGGGTCCAAAATTAAACTTTGTTTTATTTCATCAAAAATTGAATTATTGGGGTTCTTTGATATGCCAAATCTAACTATGTATTTAGATTTTTAATTTTGAATCCATTTTTCAGATTGGTCCACATTAAGGTCCAAAGGGTCCAAAATTAAACTTAGTTTGATTTTAACAAAAATTGAATATATGGGGTTCTTTGATATGCCAAATCTGACCGTGTATTTAGATTTTTAATTTTGGGTCCCGTTTTTTAAATTGGTCTACATTAAGGTCCAAAGGGTCCAAGATTAAACTTAGTTTGATCTTAACAAAAATTGAATTCTTGGGGTTCTTTGATATGCTGAATCTAAACATGTGTTTAGATTTTTGATTATGGGTCCAGTTTTCAAGTTGGTCCAAGTTGGGGTCCAAAATTAAACTTTGTTTGATTTCAACAAAAATTGAATATATGGGGTCCTTTGATATGCTGAATCTAACCATGTATTTTGATTTTTGGGCCTCATCATCAAATTGGTCCACATTGAGGTCAAAAGGGTCAAAATTAAACTTTGTTTGATTTCATCAAAAATTGAATACTTTGGATTCTTTGATGTGCTGAATCTAACCATGTATTTAGATTTTGGATATTGGACCATAATAGGTAAATTAAAAAATTATAAGTTTTTAGACCACATTCATTCTGTGTCAGAAACCTATGCTGTGTCAAATTTTTAATCACAATCTAAATTCAGAGCTGTATCAAGCTTGAATGTTGTGTCCATACTTGCCCCAACTGTTCAGGGTTCGACCTCTGCGGTCGTATCAAGCTGCGCCCGGCGGAGCATTTTATTTACACTACAATGGACATGCATCAGGTACTAGTATCATTATACGGCCGCAAAAAAATATTTGGGATAGTACAATGGTATGATGTCGTCGTCGTCTGCGTTGTCGTTGTCAGCGTCGTCGTCCGAAGACACACTGGTTTCTGGACAATAACTTTATTTTAAGTAAATGGATCTCTATGAAATTTTTTAAGAAGGTTCAATACCACAAAAGGAAAGTTGGGATTGATTTTGGGGATGATGGTCCCAACTGTTTAGGAATTAGGGGCCCAAAAGGGGCCGACACAAACATTTTTCTAGTTTAAGGATAATAACTTGTGTATAAGTATTTCGATTGCTCTGAAATTGTACAACAATGTTTAATACCACAAGTAGAAGGTTGGGATTCTTATTACGGGTTATGGGGCAAACAGTTTAGGAATTAAGGGTCTAAAAGAACAATGTTTGTAGTTTCCGGACAATAACTTGTGTGTAAGTGTATGGATCTCTCTGATATTGTACCATAAGGTTCCATATCACAAAGGGAAGGCTGGGATTGAGTTTGGGGGTAATTGCCTCAAACATGTAGGAATTAGGGGCCAAAAAAGGGCCAAAAACATGCATTATTCTAGTTTCCAAACAATAACTTGTGTTAGATGTGTATGGATCTCTCTGAAATTGTACTACAAGGTTCCATACTACAAAGGAAAGTTTCAAGAAGTAATCTTCAATTGCACAGTATTGCGCAATAGATTTGTAAGATCTTTTACCACATTAATTTTGTGTCAGAAACCTATATTATGTCAAAAATTTTATCACAATCAAAATTCAGACAGTATCAAGCTTGAATATTATATCCAAATTTGCCCCAGCTGTTCAGGGTTCGACCTCTGCGGTCGTATCAGGCTGCGCTCAGCAAAGCATTTTATTATTTCATGCAAAAATACTTAAATCTTCACAATTTTATCATTTGTGCTAATTTTAAGAAGGTTTTTGTGTAAAATGGAAGTAGCCGCATTTGAGCGTCAATATTGACCAAATCAGTTTAAATCTTTAACATAAACTAATTGAATTAACTGGTGTAGACACTTAAATGTTTAAAAAATGTCAAAAATCTTTCATCAGATGTACTTTGAATATTTAGTTTTATGGTAATATGGTTACAAAAAAAAAAAAAAAATTCCTGTTCATTTTATACAAAAAACCTGTTTTAAACATAAATGAGGGTCTGGATGGGGGCTTTCATTTCTGTATTCTTTAATTATTGGGGGCATTTTTCTTTATTTTTAAAAATAACGCTTTTTCTGTAAAATTCCTATGAAAATTATTTACTATTAGACTTATTTGTTATTACATGATTTCTTTATTCTATACATGGTTCATTTCTGTAATCAGTAATTTATTACCTTATTCTTTAGATTTCACAGTTTTTATGCCCCCGCCGTAGCGGAGGGGGCATTAAGTTTTACCCTTGTCCGTCTGTACGTACGTCCCAAAATTGGTTTCTGTTCTCTAACTTGAGTTTGCCTCAATCAAATGTTATGAAACTTATACACAATGCTTATTACCACAAAACACAGATCAAGTTTGAATTTTAGTGGCGTCACTTTAACCGTTCTAGAGTTATGCCCCTTTATAAATGGAAAAATTGCAAAATTTTTAATTTCTTCTAAATATCAAGTAATTTTTAAAATTGGAGTTATCTTCCTTTGTCCATGATTATAGTTGAATCAACTACAATCAATGCATTATACAATGCAATGTTTAATTTTGACTTCCACTGATAGATCAAGTTGAATTTGGGTAGTGTCACTTTAACCATTATTGAGTTATGCCCCTTTATAAATTGAACGATTACAAAATTTTTAGTTTCTATTCTGTAACTTAAGTTTGCCCCAACCAAGCATTATGAAACCAATACACAATATTCATTACCACAATACTAGATCAAGTACAAATTTTTTGTTTCCGTTTTCTAACTTTAGTTTGCCTCAACCAAATGTTATGAAACTTGTACACAATGCTTATTACTACATAATACAGATTAAGTACGAAATTTGGTGGCATCACTTTTACCATTCTTGAGTTATGTCCCTTTATTGAAATTGCTGAATTTTTCGTTTCCGTTCTCTAACTTTAGTTTGTCTCAACCAAATGTTATAAAACTTGTACACAACCGTTCTAGAGTTATGCGTGTTTACAAAAGAAAAATTGCTGAATTATTAGTTTCTGTTCTCTACTTAAGTTAGCCTCAACCAAATGTTATGAGACTTACACACAATGCTTATTACCACAAAACTCAGATCAAGTTCAAATTTGGGTAGCATCACTTTTACTGTTCTTCAGTTATGTCCCTTTATAACTATATGATATGCAAGCGGGGGCATCATCTGTGTCCACATGTGGACACTATCCACATTTATTTTTCTTTATTTTTTTCCCCTCATTTTTCTCAATTAAATTTTTTTGGCCATTATTCTCTATTCTGTAAACCCCATCCAGACCCTCATAACTATGGAATTATGTTTCCCAAAACCAGCACTTTTTATAACAGGAAATGAAGTATCCCCGAAAACCACAAATTTCGTGGAACTCTCACATTTTGACAAATCAGCAGATTTAATCATTTTCATTCACTGAAATGAATGCTTAAAAAAGTCTTTACTGCAGATACTAGTATGCCCAGTATGCATTTTGTCTACAAAGGTGCTAAAAGGTTGGTCTGAAATGACCATTTTGGTTGAAAACCATTTGAAAAGTCAAATCATGAAATTTGTTTATATCAAGTCATGTTTTAAAGCTAAAGTACTCTTATTACAATAGATTTAAGAAATGTTCAGACATTTTATACTTCCTGTAAAGATATGTATACTCTCAGGCAATTTAGTAATTAGTGGTTAGCAAATGTAAATAACAGCTACTGAACATCCTGAAAAAAAGACTGAACAGATGTGTATTCCCAAGAGAAGAGTCTGAAAATTTCTTAAATAATTAAACACATTTTTTTATTGCTTAAAAAATTTTATACTTAGTTTTTTATATGCTAAGAATCAACCAGTTTTAACTTGTTATAAATCTCTGACAAATATTGGAGTAGATATTGGTGAATTGTGAGTGGGGAGCTTTTGGAGACAATGGTTGTCTAGATTTCTGTAGAAATGAATTTGAAAGAGAAGTTGATCAGTATTCCAATTTTCCTGGATCTTATACGTAAGTTTACCATTCTGTTTTGTATACACGAAACATAAAATTTAAAAGCCATCAAATTTTAGTTTGAACTTATTTGATTTATTCTTGTCAATGTATTTTTCTATACCGTAAACTGAAGTGCCATAAATGTTTCCTTGGAGCAAACAATTATTTGTTGAGTTGTCTCTCACTTTGTAAAAGTTTTTGGAACATGATAGATTTTATGTTGTCATTCCAATCAGACATTTTATTGAATTTATAATGTGCACTATGCCATAATATACATTAATAACAATTTAAAAGGAATCTTAAAGGAATACTAAGAGTATGAATACAAAAGTAAAAGATCCTAGATCTTGGACATGTACAATTTTAGACTACCATGCCACAAAATTGTCACCCCAAAATTATATATCTTTTCATGTTTATTAGTGTTGTTGTGATTTAAATGATTTATCACAACTTTGTAATTGTCTTCCTTTTACACAATATATCTAAAATTTCTCACATTTTGAAAACAAAAATCTTCCCCTCGTTCTGTCTATTGATGACTTAGGAATGCATAGATATACACACTATTTTACAGGTTTGAAAAGTCTTTTGGAGGATTTTATTTAGGAGAAATGTTCCGTCTAGTTCTAGTTAAATTAACAAAGGCAGGTGTTTTATTTGATGATAAAGGATCAGATGAACTTATGACAAGATGGTTATGGAAGTCAAGGCAGGTTACTACAGTTGAAAAGTAAGCATGCACAATACATGTTTTAATTACAGCATAGGAATACATTTATGAGGTATAAGATAAATACAAGTCAATTTTATATTTCACCTATGCAAGATTAAGTGCCATTGATTAATCTAAGATATGCATGTTTAATCCAAAATATGCATGTTTAATCCAAAATATGCAAGTTTTTAAAAATTTATGCCCTCAATATAAAGGAAAATAGCAATGTTTGGTTTCTGGACAGTAACTTTAGCAAGCTTGAACCAAATCATTTTTAATTTCTGATTGTTTTTTATTTTACTGAAAACATGTCAAGTTCAATTTCTTACTGAATTCATAGTTATTATTCTTGAGTTATGCCCCTTCACACTGTCAAATATACATCAATTGATGGTTCAAGGTTTGTAAGTTTCTAGTTGATATATCATCCATAGCAGCTTACACAAGATGGTTCTTGTTCAGTATTTTGATGCAGTCACTGCCCAAAACCAGGATATTTTATACATATATAGACAATAACTGTTGAGTGTCTTTAAATATCAGCTGTATTTGTACGAGGCTAACAAACAGGTGTAATGCCAGCTTCAGCGAGCTATTACTCGTTTCGAGCCGAGTACAAATACAGCTGGTATTTAAAGACATTAAACAGTTATTATCTTTATCTTGCAATTAATTTTGTACATTTTTTTTTCCATCCCAATCGTTGAATTTGTTTTTGAAAGAAATCCACATGACTTAAATGGGGACCGCAATGAGGACCCCAAATTGAACTGTGACGTAAACAGTAATTTGACATAACTGCTCGCTCACACCAGAGGCAGGATACCAGGCGACTATATACGTCTAGTATACGTGTATCGCTTCGTGTTATCTGTACACCTGTATAAGTATAGTAGAAAGGTGTATTGCAGGATAAAAGAATGTAAAAATGCTTTAGTATAAAGCGCTTTGGTAATATTTATAAATTATCTGCTGACAGTACTTTGAATTTTTGGAAATATCAAGGATTTTCTACACCAGGGATAGATTACCTTAGCTGTATGTAAAATGCTTCTGTATAATGTACTTTTAGCTACCTCTCAATACCTGTGAACTTCCTTTCAGACAGTATAATATAATATTGTTTTTCATATATGGCATAATTTATTTTATTGAAAAGAGTTATCGTTATATACTGCTCAGTTAACTTAATTGAAAATAGTATTTAGTCATCATGTGTGAAAAATGATGTTAGAAATACAATTTTTTTATAAGACCGCAAAAAAATTTTTGGAATCATATGATGTTGTCGTCGTCTGCGTCGTCGTCCTAAGACACATTGGTTTTCCGGACAATAACTTTAGTTTAAGGGAATGGATCTCTATGAAATTTTGTAAGAAGGTTCAATACCACAAAAGGAAGATTGGGATTGATTTTGGGGATGATGGTCCCAACCGTTTAGGAATTAGGGGCCCAAAAGGGGCCCAAAACAAGCATTTTTCTAGTTTCAGGATAATAACTTGTGTATAAGTATTTCGATTGCTCTGAAATTGTACGACAATGTGTAATACCACAAGTAGAAGGTTGGGATTTATTTTAGGGGTTATGGGGCCAACAGTTTAGGAATTAAGGTCCAAAAAGGGGCCAAAAACAAGCATTTTTCTAGTTTACAGACAATAAGTTCTGTGTAAGTGTATGGATCTCTCTGACATGGTACCACAATGTTCCATATCACAAAGGGAAGGCTAGGATTGAGTTTGGGGTTAATTGCCCAAATATGTAGGAATAAGGGACCAAAAAAGGGCCAAAAACAAGCATTTTTCTAGTTTCCAGACAATAACTTGTGTTTAAGTGTATGGATCTCTCTGAAATTGTATTACAAGGTTCCAATTACTACAAAGGAAATGCTGGGATCGAGTTTTGGGGTTATTGCTCCAAGGGGGGTTTCAAAAAGTTAGGGGGGGGGGAGGGTTTCCAATTTTTTTAGAGGAATCATATTTTTTTTTCAAAATTTTTCAAATTTTGAATTTTTGAAAAGTTCAAGAAGAAATCTTCAAGTGCACAGTATTGCGCAATAGATTTGTAAGATGTTTGACCACATTTATTTTGTGTCAGAAATCTATATTATGTCAAAAATTTGATCACAATCCAAATTCAGACAGTATCAAGCTTGAATATTGTGTCCAAATTTGTACCAACTGTTCAGGGTTCGACCTCTGCGGTCGTATCAGGCTGCGCTCAGCGAAGCATTTTATTATTGAATCTAGTGAATTCTTTAACATGTCATATGAAAACAAGTCAGTGTTTTTTTTAGTAAATATTTTTTTTTAATCACCTTGATCTTCAGTTGTCATATTTTCATATCCATGAAGACAGTTTTGAAGCCATAACAGCAAGCAAGGTAATGAACAGGTCCAATTTTTTTTTTAGTTATGACAAAACATTTTCACTTTATTATGAAACATTAGAAGAACATGTCCAAAAGACATATTTGTTCAACTCAATAGACCACTTTCGAGTTTGTTGCATTTCCGTCAAAAACTTTGGTTTGAGTGAACATTATTAGTGCGTTTAGGGGCATCGTCATTTCCTTTGTATGTTGAGCGAGCGGTTGAAAAAATATGATGCTATATTGCACGAATTATTCGGCCAAATAAAATTCTTATAATTGATGATCAGCACTGCTGTAATTAGGGAATTGTGATTAAGTATCTACAGAACAAACATTATTTCTAGTTTATCCTGCATAATGACGATCACGAAGACACTTGATGAACTTTAATAGTGCAGGGATACAGGCAGTCCCCTCTATCTGGTATATGATGTCATAAAGGCACGCATAATTGTTGAACTTTTCTGGTGAAGGACATAACTCGAAAGTGGTCTATTAAAGTCCAGGCCTTATACAGGTCAAAAAGATGTCACAGCTTGCAAACTCAATAAAATACTTGACCTCCTAAATTATTAAAAAAAAAAGAAGACAACACTTGATAAATTTCATGCGTATGAAGCGCTTTTCTGGATTTACCTTCATCAAAATGCTCAAAATCGAATATTTTAAAAGCCAAGGATGTATAAGATCCGGTAACCATCATGAAAAAACAATGCCATTTCAAAATAGGTCATATACAAACATCATAATTTTATAGTAATGGCTCAATTTGAATTAAAAATCTGTATGCTAAGAAAAAGAAGTATCTTTTGATTGGTAGTTTTGTTTCAGAGATAATCCTGGTTCATCAGAAAATACCATGTCTGTTTTAAAAGAAATGAAACTGGATACCATTGCAACAGAAGAGGATGTTATACTGGTACAAGAGGCATGTTACCTAATGTCACAGAGAGCTGCATATATAGTAGCAACAGGTAACTTGCTCAAATGTTACTTTTGATTATTATAGTACTTCAAAAAAAAAAAAAATTTTTGTCTCGTTTTCAACAAAAGTCGAGGAAGAAGAGACAAAGGTATTGCTTTTAGGGTGTCGTCGTCTTCGTCTGGTGACATCAACAATTGTTTAGTTTTCTGCTTAAGTCAGTTTGATAGAAACTACATGTGATAGCTTAATGATATTTTCTTTAAAGTTGCATTACTATCAGTTTGACAACTATTTTGAGGTCCTGCCCCATAGCTCATGGTCCAGTGACTTTCAATTAATTACCAATTTTTAATGTTAAGTTTTTTACTTAATTTAGTTTGATAGGAACTTCTTATGATAGACAATGATATTTTCTATAAAGTTGCATTAGTATCAGTACATCTCAGTTTGACCATCATTTTGACGCGCTGCCTAGTAGGTGATGGTCCAGCAACTTTTAATTAAAGTTGCTGTCTATCAGATTGTCATTTTCTGAATTTTATGCTGACAGCAATGGGTGTTTATGTCTGAAATAAAGTCTGCTAAGATTTAACTTAGTTGTAAAGAAAAGTAAAAACGAGCAAATGTTTCAGAAAAGGTTTTAAAATCCATTATTCCACATCCATCATGCACAGAGAACACTCAAATGGAATTTTTTAATCCATATTTAGCTTTTGATGATATAAGAGGAAAATATTGCTTCACTCTAAAGTTTAAAGGACAGAATGTCAACAAAACTTTCAGAAATCTTATGATGCAAATAAATCAGTCAGGAGGGGAGTAAACATTGTTCAGAAAAAAAACTTAATGAATCACTTTTCAATGTGTTGATGGGCAAGAAGGCTAGAGATTAATTGATGTATATGTAGTGAAAGAAAGTCCTTACTATTAATATATTGATAAGCTAAAGTTTGAAAGAAACTGAACAATTGATTCACAAAAACAAAGTCATATAGCATTCAGTGCATTAAAGCAATTTACAATATCACAAAATTAGAACATCATCTTTACTGACATACACACCATAAGATATCCCTCTTGTCAAAGGGTGTATACTTCTACTATAACAGATAAAGAAAAATGAATAACATGTAAATTATGATTGCAGACACATTTATAGTAAATCAGAATTATGATACAGACGGACTGGTTATTATTAGTAAATTGGGAAAAAAAATTGAATTATATTTGAATCTGTCCAGAGTTTTATGCATAATTTTGATGGATCACAAGAAGTTTATTACAGTTATATAAATAATGATAAACGTATATGTTGATTCAAGATTGATTGATTCACAACCAGTTTATTACAGTTATAATAATGAAATACATGTTCAGTGCTGCCAAAAATTTGTGTTGAGTAGTTAAGGTGATTTGAAAAATGGAGGCGGAAGATACCAAAGGGAATGTCAAACTCAAAGTAGAAAACAAACTGATAAAGACATTGCAAAATACGAAAAACGATTCAAAGACTAACAACAGTCTACAAAATACAACGTAGAAAACTAAAGACTGAGCAACAACAACCCCACCAAAAACCAGGATTGACCTTTGGTGTTCTGAAAGGGTAGGCAGATCTTTTTCCTCATGTTGCTCATGTAAGAACAAACCTGGTTATAAGTCTGATTCAGTAAGTCACAGTTTAGGAAAAAAGGACAGGATTGTGGTTATAGCAAATTGTGATTTTAATCTCCAGAGTTAAATTGTCTGGTTTTATTTCAGCTCTAGCAGTTTTACTAAATCATATAAATGAACCAGAAGTTTCCATAGGCATTGATGGATCTTTGTATGAACATCATCCTCGTTTTCATGATCACATGACAACATTGTTACAGAAACTAGTTCCTAACACAAAGGTATGGTATAAAAAAATGTTAAGGAAAGTACATCAATTTGCTTTTTACTTAAATACTATTTTCAATACATTTTAACTTCATCTTCATAAATTTTAAACTCAAAGGTTTTTGGTTGCTTTGTTGTCATATGAATTACAGTTGATGTTGGTTTTGTGTCAAAGATACAGCAGCACAACAATGCAAAAACACAATAGGCATTGTTTTTGAATTATTTATAATTATATCTTATAAGAGATCGTGAAAGTGGCGGTCTGAAGGTTTTGACCACCAAAATTTTGAAAGGACCAACACAATTTTGGTATTTTCCAATAGAGGTAATAGTGAGGACCTGCAGATTTTTTTCCAAAACACCAGGAAAAAAAATATTTCGAGAACTCTGTCTTTTTTTTACATAGGTTTGTTTTTATATGTAAACAATTGTGAAAGTTTTTTCTGGGTATGCAATACATGTATTTTAATAAAAAAAATTACATGTGATTCTTTTTCTGTTGTAGTTTCGATTATTTCTGGTAAAAGATGGAAGCGGTCAAGGTGCTGCATTTGTAGCTGCTGTAGAATCTTCATAGTATTTGTTTTATTATATTGATTTTTATAATTAAGAAATATAGAAATATAACCATTTGAAGAGTGTAATATATTAAAGTGATGTCTTCCATTTTTCTTTATTATGCATGTTTATTCTACTTCTAAGGTGTGTTAAAATAAATAAGGGATGAAATCAGATGCAAAACCATAAATTTTATTTACCTATAAGAATGCACAAAATGTGAAAAATGGGGTGGGAAGACCTAAAGACAGAAATGAAATGCCTCAAATGTAAAAAGTATGGTAGTATCAGCACTATTCTCCGACACCATCACAGTTACCATGATATCACAATTACCATCTTTGAATGCCATCACTGCCCAGTGACCTTCACCAGGAAACATGCTGCAGGATAATACATCCTTATAAAAATTTAAAAAAAACAAGAAGAAATCAGAAATACACTTAAATGAAAAAAACCACAACACCAAAGGACTCAGCAAAAACAGTTGACAAATGGACAACACTGGTTTGTGCTTGCCCCAGTAGTGTTAACTGGGACCTGGGACCCAAATTCAGGAATAATGGCAACACCTAAATATACAATGTCAACTCCCACTAAAGCAGAAACTAAAGTCGACATACTGATACAAGATCTTTACATCAGTGAATCAAAGGTCTCAGATGGTGATATAATGTATATTAAAACCTCAGGACCACAGAAATATCATACGAACAGTTACTGTTACCTTGCCGAAGAATGTGAAGAATTAAATCCAGGTAACATTAACAACATGAAAGCAACTTCAAGTAGTGCATACTGATACAGGGAACCAGTGCATAGTAACAGTAACAAAATGATTTACATGTAGGGATGAACTTCCCAAAGAGGAATAAAACAGATAAGTACCTGTCAGTGGAATATAGTGCATTTTTCAAGATAAGAAAACGTTATAGATTTGATACCATTAACCTGCACTTCAGGAATTGTCCTGAAGACGATAATGTATTCAGTGAAACATGTCAATCAATAAAAGTTGTAGTTAACTTCAGTGGTGTTGTCAATTTTGGGGGATAAATTTATTTTGTGAGTACCACATTTTTTCTTTAGTCTGAATAGAAGACATTGAAGTGATTTAACATTGACAAACTATTTCTTTAAGCTAATATAAAGAAGATTAAACAGATCAAAACAGTTCTCCAATACAATGCAAAGATACAGAATATATCATTTTCAATGTAGACTTAAGTGTCAGACCAACAAAAAAAAAAGCATTGAAAATATATCACATAAGTATGATTAAAAGGAAATGTGTGAATCCTGTCAATGAGACAGCAACCTAATAACACAAATAAACAAAAGACAACTGGCGTGCAACATATAGTCTTCAACAATAGAGCAGTCTCTATACAATATGCCCAGCTCTAAAATATTCAGAGATCTGCCATTCACATTAAATTCTTTATATAACAAAAAATATTCAGATATGACACAAAACAACCACTGTTACAAGACTCCTGACTTAGGATACGCAAGTGGATATGTGATGGGGTTTTACTAGTTTCTTTTAGTTTTCAAACCTCACCCTTTTAATCTATACTAGTTGATTTACAAAAGGTACATATAAAAAACACGAATAACTAAAATAAGTTGATGTGTAATAAAGCAATCTTCTCGTAAGAAGGGCTTTGCTATTTGCACTGGTGGTATGCTGTCAATTATTATTAGGAGCAATTCTATCTCATGTTTTATATAAATCTTATTGTGTGGTTACGACTATTGAAACATATTCATCGTCATCTGTGAAACAGATATTTCATAAAGGTCAACCAACTCGTGATGGCAGCTGTAAACATTTTTGAAGGGTTGATTTCAACTTCACCACTTGAAACTCTTGGTTTAATAATTTCCTAGTAAGCAGCAACCCTCTATTTAGGAAATCGTGATAGTAAATGCAACTTCTGGAATATTGTATCAACTGGGAGATATATACTCTGTATGCATGCGCTACTGGAATGTTGCTACATAGATATGGAAATTTCAGAATTGGGAAGCTGAAATCATCTCTTTTGTCGTAGAGTTTTGTTCAATGACCCTCACTGTCAATATCTAGATGTTAGTCAAGATATGAGGCAGACTTAAATATCTGTTGTATCCTATATTTCAAGTTTAATGCGATAGATGCGTTCAAAATAATCACCAAACTTAAAATATTTAGTCAGAGGACATCATTTGTATATTGGAATGCGTAGCTAAAGATAATGCTAACTTCTTTTCATTCTTCCTGAAGAAGCCCCTGTATGAAATCAGACTCATAAGAATAAAGGAACAAGTTGGCAAGAAGAGGAGCACAGTTGATTCCATGGGAATGCCTATTGTTTGTTTAAAAAACACGTCCTACAAACGTAACAAATATGTTGCGATCAAGAAATCGAGCATCTTGATAATATCAGTTTAAGAGAATTTTTGGTTTGAATCCAGGTGTTTTTTTACAACGTACGATTTATCTCTTCCTAAGACAAGCTACTTGTATCTACGTCGGTCATAAGGTCCTCCTTTATTATGAAATAAAGGAGGACCAATTCTTTAATTTTTCTTTTAGTTTGAGATGGGAAATACTTGAGTAAAGGGTAGACAAGTCAAATACTTTATTACTATCACTACAAACCAGTAAAAGTCTGAAATGGCCTATATCTGTACTCGACTGTACTAATTTTTACTCGACCAGTCTGAATTGGTCTGAATTTTACTTAATATTACTCGACCCAGTCTTAACCATACTCGACTGTACTAATTTGTACTTGACCCTTATCTTTGCTATTGAAAATAGTCTTAACTATTACTCGACCAGTCTGAAACAGTCTTAACCCAGTCTGGACCAGTACTCGACCAGCTCTCGACCTATTTTTTCAGTCTGAACCATACTCGACCAAAGGTCTGAACAATACTCGACCAGTCTGAACCATACATGACCAAATAACCTCTTCTTTATAATTTTGATTGTTAAAATAACTTTCTCTTTAACTTACATGACAACAGCCACAATTAAATAAAGATATATATAAAAACATTTTTTTACATTCTTTAATAATACATGATTCTCTTAGATTTGGTAAATCGAGATAGTTAAATTATCTAATTTTAAAGTCTGAGTCTTGTTAAATAAAAGACTTTTTTTACCTGAAAACCACACCTATACTGAGGGTAATAAAACCTTATTAAAAATAAGGTGCTTTTTGTTTCGCATGTGTTTTTTTTTTAATCAAAACTTGATTTTCCTAAATTCCTATATAAAAACTAATGTAGGACAGAATGTCACAGGACAAAAAGTCACAATTCAGTTTTGAGATTATTTTTCTTTGAACAATAAATCACTTATTTTTAAAAAAACATTTTTGTATTTTCTTGAAACAATATCAATAATGATCAAATTATTGTTAAGAAAACAAAATGTTACAATGTATTGGTACTTAAATGGCTTTATGGTGCCAAGAAATATATCCTTTGCATGATTAAAATTTTATAAATCTTTATTTATCAAATTAAGTCTTATGAACAATTTCCTAAACTGTAAAATGAATATGTGTACATTTGTAATAAAAAGTAAACATTTCAAGATCTTTCTCATAAATATTCAAACAATTGTATACAAATTATTTGTGACTTTTTGTCCTATCAAATTTGTGACTTTCTGTCCTGTGACTTTTTGTCCTGTGACTTTCTGTACTTAGGTTTCATGGTTACATAAAATAGCTATATAACTATCTTTTTAATGAGGTAACAACAGCCAACAAAATCACTGACATTGTTTAACCTTATATCAGATATATATCTTTTCCTATTTATAATTTGGGATATATATATATTTTAAAAGGGATAAAAAATTAAAGAAATGAATAAAATTTTTCTTCTGATTAGGGGTAAACTATAAAGTAATACATCCTGCTTGACGCACACCGATTAAAAAGATCACACCTGGTCAGAGAGTAATAAATTTTAAATAACATCCATTGAAAATTACAACATCCTGTAAAACTTAAATAACAAGGCCTTTTGAATTCACTAGATAAGTAATACACGAGTTTAAGAAAAATATGGTTTTCTTTTTACCTGTAAAACGCCTGTACTGAGGTAATTAAACCATTAAACCTTATTAAACTGCTTCTTGTATGCCATGTCTTTAATTTTGACAAAACGGATTTAAATTTAATTAAAATAAATTTCTACTGCAACTTTGGAATACATTTCCTTTTTTAAAAGGTTATCAAGGATTGCTATGAAAGTTTTATTATTACTATTATATTAAATTTTTGGTTTTACAAAACAAAGGTGTCAATTTTAACATTTATTAAGTTGCTTTATATACTATTTTATATATATTTTGATAAAAAAAAATTGAATAACATTTAAGATATTTGAATAATGGTTGAAAGTTCTAGTATTTTTGATGTGCATAAATCAATGTGAACATGATATCATGTATATAAAAATTAATTTAACGAATTTAATTTATTACATGATATTTTTTTAATCCAACCAGAAATTTGATCACCTTGTTTTATTTTAATTTTAAATGTGATATACATTTTTTATATATATATATGAATAACAGTTCCTAAATTAATGAAAAAATAATATAGATAGATACAAAAAATAGGTCTAGGTTGGTTAAGACTTGGTCGAGTATGGTTCAGACTAGGTCGAGTATGGTTCAGACTAGGTCGAGCATGGTTCAGACTTGGTCGAGAATGGTTAAGACTATGTCGAGTATGGTTCAGACTCGTATAAAATGGTTAAGTACTGGTCGAGTACAAGTTCAGACTGTTTAGTATGGTTCAGACTACAGTCGAGTAATATCAAGTAAATTTCAGACCAATTCAGACTGGTCGAGTAAAAATCAGTTCAGTCGAGTACAAATATAGGCCATTTCAGACTTTTACTGGTTTGTAGTGTATTGCAAGAGAAAACAACATTATATTATGTGTACACTAACAGATCTTTGGAATTTTTAAGTATCCACATATGATTCACGCCACCCCTAGATGAAGCCCGTCTTTGGTTGCTGATACGGTTGATGTTAACAATTTAAAAGAGGATTCGTGGAGCACGGGGAAGACCGAGCAACATAACGTTATATGTAAGGACACTAATGTAATTTGGGTATCCAATACAGTGAAGGGAGATCCAGTTCTTCATCTTTGGTTGAGATTCCAAAGAAGAATAGAACAGACCTATGATTATTGAGGATTTCTTCCTTGGTAAGTGTTGGGGTATATTTTGAGTTTCCAAGTGAATTGTCAATTCCTAATTCCTTTTATATCAAGCAGTTTATGCAATGTGGTTTACAGAAAAACGATGTTGTTTGGTGCTTTATCTGATGGGAACAACAAAATATTTTTCATGGAGGTTGGATAGATACTTAGCACTTGTGGGTCTTTAAAGATCGATGTAACATGTGTGTGCATAGACCTATTCAGTTTTTTTTTAATCTTATTTGTATCAACGACCTCATAGCCTTACCCGATTCGGACAGTGTGTCAACGTCTTCTTTTTTCGCGTTTAGTCCATTACCTGGCATAATCCTCTACTGAATCCCTGAGTATTTTGAAGTTGTGATTTGTAAATTGATGAATTTAGGCTCACGATATATCGGGCCTTTGGATAACAAATTTTGCGAAAATTTCGCAGAGAAATATCATTGACAATGTTCAGGTCACCATTAATAACGTGGCCAACCGGATTATATATGAATGGGACACAGGTGCAATCGAGAGGTGTAGACTTGAATTCGTCATAATTTAGATCCTGCAATACGTGTTTATAATTGAAAATTTTAGTTGTAATTTGTTTGGTATAGGTATAAGAGATGATAGATACATACTAATCTTTAAAGTAGGGGGCATTTTCGAGTGAACTGATTTATGATGAAGGATATTGCCCAAGTTGATGGCATCGACACCTTTGTTGGCAAAGGAAAGTTTAAGAAAGAATCTTTTCTTCTTTTCATCTTTCCTAAATGGCTTTAAAATATCAACACTGCCCGGTGTAC